CAAGCCTAGAGCTTAGTTGGAATGGTAGAAAGAAATATAAGTAAATTCACAAAAAAAAAATTATTATTATATAAAAAAAGACTCGAATCAATGTCGCATTCTTATATGCTTGTTTATTTATTCAAGCGAGGTTACAAAAAAATACCTAAGTACTTTTAGTAACTACATTAGGAAAGCTATAAGTATTGTAACATTTCACAGTACGAAAACCAGTTTTTGAATACCAAACATAGCGAAATGCTGTAGGCAAACTATTTTAACATAATTCATTTGGTAGCGAGAGCGGAGCATAACGTCGGCAACATCAAAGAAGATAGCTTGAATACTTGTCGCTGTTTAAATATTCCTTGTTTACTGCGGACATTGTCTCAGACGTTGAAGTAAATTCGAGCGACGACTAGAATGTGTTATGCGGCTCCAATGTTGCCTGTAATTATATCAAAATAATGTTTCAATTTTATAGCATTAAATACATGACTAGACAAGATAAATTAACTAAATATTACTGGAAGGATAAATACCATTAAACCGTACGACTAAGTTAACCTTTAAATAATGTTAAAGTACTGAACTAGAGAAATTCTGCATCCGTTGATAGCAAGATTATTTTCAAGAATATTATAGAGATTTTGAATCAAAGTAAGGCTTAGGTCTTAGGTTAGGTACGATTTTTCTCCCTTATGTCCAGAAAAAAAGAACGGAGTGAAAAACTGCAAGAAGATTCATTTGAGAGACTAGTAAAAACTCATTTTAACTATATCTTATCGTACTAATATTTTAATTGTGAATGTTTAGATGGATGTATAGATGTTTGTTTGAAGGTATCTCCAGAACGCCTGAACGGATCTTGATGAGATTTGGCATATGTATGGAACATAGTCTGGGAAAACACATAGACCACTAATTATGTTTCTTTGTTGCTTATATCATCATAAAGTATTTCATAAATTTCAGGAATATACTAAGCAGTGGATCATATATTCAATTAGTCTGAGTTACGTTGTTGATTGATAGGTGCAGTACAACGTATTCGGCTTGAAGTGTGAGCCAGTTTCAATAATTACAGCACAGACGTTGACATACTGGAACATTAATTGGCATGCAATAGACGTGATTGTAGCAGCTGACAACTGACTACGCTCATAGTGGTCACCTTTGATGCACCTGATAGTGAAGTAAACTGATTAAATATAATTATAAGGGTGGTAGTTGAATACTATGATTAATTGATTGCTTACTCAATGCAGAATAAGTAAAATTAATTAATTTATCTTCTTACTAATATTATAAATACGAAAGCTTGGATGGATGATTAGAACACCAAAACGGCTTGACAGATCTCAATGAAATTTGGCATGGATGTACATAGTCTGGAAGAACATATAGGTTAATAATTAAGTTTTTTTTTCCGCACGGACGGAGTCAAGGGCGACAGCTAGACTAGTATTGTTATAAATGCGAATGTTTAGATGGATGTATGTTAGAAGATATCTTCAGAACAGCATGGATCTCGCTGAAATTTGACAATGATGGAGAAATCAGTCTCGACGCACACATAGGCTACTAATTACGTTCTTTTTAATACAGCGCGTACGGAGTCGAGGTCAACTGCTAGACGATTATATTTATGGTCGAATATATTAGCAGATTTTTGTAAAACTAATATTTCTATTAGCATTCCCATTAAGCTCTAGACTTGTGCTTGTATATATTTTACAATATTGGTTGGCGGGATTCAACTCTCGACCACGGAATCGGAAATCCCTACCTTTAACTATTAGGCTATTAGCGCTACAATTCCAAGAAGAATTTTATTTAATAATGGTAGAATTAGTTCGTCTGAACGCTAATTAAATGCTAGACGTTTTGACGTTAACAGTTTCTCTAAGTGACTAGCATTTGTAAAACCCGGTTTAATTGTCGTTTTATTTCCACCAACGTATTTAATTCGTTGTCGTGTTACGGGTCTACTTATACTGGATGTTAAGCGCTGTCTGCTATTAACTATCTTCAAAAGTTTTAACAGAACTTTACAAGAACTCGGCTTCGGAAAGTGACGTAAACAAGGTTTGACCAATGTTTGAGCGCGATGTAGTAGGATTATGAGATATTTAAACAAGCGGAGATTTGTAGGAATAATTTATATTTATGTTTTCGTTGTCAACTATTTCTTAATGGTTTGCGTTTTTAGCACAGTTTTCTGGCTGTAATAATTCTATGCGAGTTATACGTGAATTGTGTGTTATGATTATTTACTTTAAAGCCATCTTTTTTTTATATCATAAGGTGGCAAACGAGCGAGCGGCCACCTGAAATCGCTGATATAGCGAAGTGACCGTTGCCCATAGACATACGCAATTGCATATGCGTTGCCTACCTTTAATCGACAGAGGAGAGGATGCACAGAAAGAAAATATATTCCCTTTCCATGCATCCTCTCAACCGGAAAGTCCACTTCCACTTCCCATCCTTTCCTTATAAGAAAGTGGTCGGAAGGGAAAGAGGACTAAATTAGGCCTCCGGGACGCACAGTCATCAGACGAAACGAGGAATTGCTTCCACTTCACGCCTGTCTTCTGTGTGGTCGTGGTATTTTACCGGGCCAATTCGTGCGAAGATGTTAAAGCGGGCTCTACCACTGTTAAAATTATTTCTGTTCTTACAACAAAAATTGTACATCTGTGGCACTGACAAGGTTTGTTCACAAAACATACAGACTAAATTGTGTCCGTTTTGCTTCAAGAATCAGACGAGTTAGAGTTTTTCAATCGTACTCTTGTGAGAAATATAATTGTGTCGTATCGAATAGTAATGCACGACTCCCATCGGAGAGATTCTATCGGGTGAATTGGATGTTGAAATCATTGGATATTTATTAGACTGGGGACTCGAGAGCTCCGTCCAATTGTTTGTCTATGTTAACAAGTTTAACTGGGAAGACGCTTAATGAATTTAGTTTTTTACAGTAAAAGAGAGCAAACGAAAAAGCTATTTGAATTCGCTAAAATGGTGATATGATCGCTGCCCATAGATATCCGCATTTGCAGATGCATTGCTAAATATGATATTACTAATGCGTCTCCTCCGCCTTTTTACTCTTTTTAACTATGACTCGATTTTAGCGATAGGTGAATTTTTACTTATACCCTTACAGGTCTGTTCGGAACCCTCGGGGCGCGAGTCTGACTAGCACTTGATTTTAAGATTCTCATAGCATGGAAAGCAAACTAATTAACATGATAAAATAGCACTTTTGAATAAGGGCAATGAACAAACAGGGTTTTAAAATCAAAACATAATTTTGATTTGATAAAATTGCATTTTAAAAAACATAGGAAAACAAGTTTATGTTTCACTGAGTTATTATTTTAAAATAAAATTGGTGAGTAAACTGAATGTGGTACAGAATTATGAAGTAAATATTTCCTTACATCATTCTAAAACGAATACGAACTCAGACGCCAAAGGAAGTGGTTTCTTAATGTCTTAGATAATAATAAATAGTCCAACAATAATATTGAATAATATTATTTAAACAATAAATATAATGACGTAAACATATTATAATTTATAGAGCGCCCAATTTTTTTTATAACACTTACTCGTATATAAAAGAAAGTCGTGTTAGTTACACTATTTATAACTCAAGAACGGCTTTCCCGATATGGCTGAAAATTGGTGAGGAGGTAGCTTAGAGCGAGGAGACGAACTTAGGGCACTATTTAATCATTTTTTTTTTAATTTATGCCTTGAAGAGCTGCTTTTTATTTAACTTACTAATGTTATAAATGCGAATGTTTACTTGGATGTGATGTGGATGGATGGGTGTTTGAAGATATATCTAAAACTGCTGAACGGATCTCGATTAAATTTGGCATTCGTATAGAACATAGTCTGAAAGAATACATAGGCTACATAATTAAGTTTTTTATATATCCACGCGGACAGAGTCGCGGGCGATAGCTAGTTAGTAAAAAAAACAAATACTTTGCAAACTAGTTTTAAGATTTTATTTCCATATATAAAATTGTGGAGAATCCAAAGAGCGTAACATTTAACATTAAAAAATCCCACACTATATTCATGTATCATTCATATATATACTTTGATATAATCTTTAGCACAAGTTAGGGTGCCTTCATACAGACCGGGGCGTAGAACAGAGCAGATTTTTATCGCAAACAAAATTGAGCTTTACAGAATTGTAACAAGGTTTAATTAGACTTTAAACGTCTTTTCATCAAGAGCAGACGTAAAAAAAATAAGTGAAAAGTAAAATTAAATCTTATTGCAATGGCATAAAGGTCAAATTTGTCTGCGGCAATAAATCGGCTTTGCTCTCCGCGTTGTTCTGAGTGAACGGACTCTTAGTGACAACGGAAAATACGTACTGATTAACATAAATATTACGCGCTGGTTTATCCGGTGAAACAAATAACTGTATTTAAGTGCAGATTTCGATTGTAATGTAATTTAAATTGAAATTTGCCATCTCTCACATTCTCCTCGAAGAAGCAGAGATAGATATATATATCCATGCGGGACTTTATAGTCAAAACCTAATTTAAACCAATTCGTATACAAAGCAACTTAAATCTTCGAAACTTATATTATACCCGTTGAGTCGTCGACGCGTGTTTTCTATTCAATCAGTACATAGCAACTGTCAACTGAATAGACTTGCCGCCATCTTGAAATTCAAAGCGACTTTTCTATTAAACAGATTACGAAAGACTTGTTTTGTCGATGTTTATATTTTCTATTAAAATCGATACAAATCTAATCATAAAACAATTATTAAAAAACCGGTTAATTAGTTACAGAAAATATAAACAAACAAAATGTTACTCTACGTGTTGTATATATTAAATAAATACATATAAAATAGCTTAAAAACTAGATATTGTGGTATAGAAACGTGTGTTTGACGTAATATTAGCACTAATATACGCTATTAAAAATCTTAGCATAGGTTCCACTGCGTTATAAGCCTTAAACAAGTCTTACCTGTGACAACGCATTCTTGCTTACATTTACAATGGATATTTAACAAGAAGCACACGTATTTCTTGCATCGCAAAAAAACAATTTTAAAATGTTAAATTCAAGGATAGATTATTTTGTGCACCAAATAGTATTTATTTATGGTATGTATTAATTTTATTTTTATTTTAAAATTCCGTTTTAATGACGTCATAATAAACTCTTGTATTTATAATACACGTTTTTTCTGTAACTTAAATAGATAATGAATTAGAATTTAAGACAATTTGAATTGGACTGCGATTAAAGTGATTGACCAAATTTACTAAATTAAACTGATTATGTTTTTTTTTGCAGTTACATTTCTCGTTTTGAACTTAGTATCGGCAAAAAGAAATTTCAATCTAAATGATAAATATGTCAATGCAAGCCAGACCGTAAGTATATTTGTTATAATTTCAATATTCGTTCATCTCTAAATTGGTTTATTTGATTGCTGTGTCGTATTTAAAAAGTTGAAAAACACTGGTTTACCGTTGATGACCAAAATCTCTTTAATAGAAATCATCCCTCCTGCCTTATCTTTGACAAAACAGAGTAGTAATATATTTAAATCGGATATTTTGGTGTCAGAAACCCACGGTTAGTTTGATAATCTTATGCTGGCAATATAAATTAGATGTCTTCAAATAAAAATGTACATAATTTTTCTACAAATTATAAAGATATTATAATATTTCTTATCTAAATATAAAATATGTAATAAAAATCTTTGATCTCCTTTTTCAAAGGTGTAAATAAAATTATTTTACATTTATTTATATTTACAGCTTAATTTGGTTCATCAAACATCAGAGAGTTTATTTACTGTACTAAATCAAATCGAACCGGATTTCGATCCGGACGCATGTGATCCGATCTCATCGACGATGCCGGACTTTTTTAAGCCTGGCCGAAGTATAAGCGAGACAAGTAAGCTTTAATATATGATATTCATATCTGGGTCGATCCATCCCTAAATGCACATATTGCTTGCTGTTAATAAAACAACTAAGTAATGATTTTGAATGTGGATGGCTACAAAGGTAGAGAAAGACCAAAATAGACCGTACACCTCCCTTAAAGGCTGGCAACGGATTTGCGGTCCCTCTGGCGTTGCTGATGTCCATGGGCGTCGGATAAAATAATTTTAGTCGATTCAGTGCTCGATTGCCCTCTTCTCCAATAAAAAAATATGGTATTAATGGATTGTGTGAAAGAAAGTAAGAAAGGAGTGAATTCAGATATGGCAGCTGATAGAGTTGGAGGAGTAGTACATACTGTGCCGGCTCTCCGTAGGGATAAGGACAGGTTGATAATGATCCTTTTGAAATACCAAAAATATTTTTAATAGTTTAGGTATACGATTCTTATTAAGTTATATTTAACTTAATTAATTACTTTTAATAACTTAATTATACTTAACAATAGATAGTTTAAGCTGCAATATTAAATTTACTATTTAATGTTTAAATATTTTCCTATTTGTTTTTAATACAATTAATTTAATGTTACAGAATGCCTTGAATACTTATGGCGGATGCGATTTTACGATCATTCGCTTGTGAGAGTCGTTAAATGTAAGTTTTTACCAATAAAGGTAATATAAAATATACTTATCTATTACTGAACGATTAAAAGATAAATATACGTAAAAGTCAATCATTTAAATAAATAGATAGTTCCATATAATTAACTTGATTGAAGATTGACATCAGATCTTATAGTATAGTAATGTTATTTATAAACTCCAGGTGGCGCTCCATTTGATCCAAGTTTGACCGTTATATTTGGAGGTCAAGACGCATCGCCCGGACAATTTCCTCATATGGTACTAATTTTTATTTTTTACTAATTGAACCTACTAGACCTTATTAAGACACCTAATAGGAAGCAGAAAGCAAGCTAAACTAGGAAGCTATCATAATCATCAGCTATACGTCCCCACTGAGGGTATCGCAGCCTACCCAAAGTTAGGGGTGACTAGGCCATAGTCAACCACGCTGGCCCAGCGACTTCACATATATCTTTGAATCTTTTCTTAGATATGTGCAGGTTGCATCACTATGTTTTTCTTAACAATAAGAACGTCAGATGAATGTACAAATGTAAAATGGAAATCGAAAAACACATTGGTACATGGCGGGATTCGAACCCAGGACCCGCAGTTTACAAGTCAAGTGCTTAAACCCCTGAGCCATCAACGCTCTTATAATTGTATAACTAAATATTGTCCTCAGGGGGCAATAGGATGGAGGTCAGTAAATGACACCTGGACCTTCAAATGTGGCGGTACACTTGTAACAGAAAAGTTCATGATTTCTGCAGCTCATTGTTCTCGAGCGAAGAGAGGTGATTCCAAAATCATAGATCCTGTGCCCAAAATAGTACGAGTGGGTGAAGTTAATATTGGGTTAAAGGTGAGTGACGTTATACCTCTTACAAGATGTTAAGTAAGTAAAGCTATCTGCAAATATATGGTATACAGCTACCATTTAGATACATTTTCTTTCATTAACCCAAAGGTAAAGGATTATAGTCTACCTAATGGTAATGAGGTAATCCTCAATAAACCATGACAAAGACGGAAGACGGAAGACAGAAAGCCGGTCTCGATCGAAGGCATCCTTTTTTGGCTACTGTTTTATACTATTCAGAAGATCAGCTATGATTAAAGTTTATATTTGGTTTTTAATTCCCGCAGAATCCAGATGATCAACCACCTCAAGATTCGCTCATCAAGAGATTCATTGTCCATCCATATTATCGAGCTCCTAGAAAATACTATGATATTGCAATTATTGAACTAGAGACACCAATAATGTTTACTTTGAAAAGCCATCCCGCTTGTGTTTGGGCGAACCCTTACCAAGAAGTATTTGGAAAGGCTGCACTGACTGGATGGGGTATTACCGAAGCAGGTTTGTATTTTATTTATATTTAGGTAAACATATAGGCAACTTTTGTGACTTATTGGGAGAATTATCCTCATCTGAAATGAATTGATAAAAATACTCAATATGACGCAAGAGGGATTGTGTTTTTCACTTTTCTTATCATATATTCCTTAACCTGTAGGCCTTCTTTGAAATTCGTCTTCAGTGTTCTTCTTTTAAGTAAAATACCAACATTATTAGCCTTGTCTCTTATTTACTTAAAATTCAAAAATGTATTTATTTCTTTGATATTATAATATGGTTCTAAGTAACAAGTACCACTGTACCAAACAACTTGAAGTAGTTGGCGTGCTAAAAAAAATGCTGTCAGTATACGGCTTCCTAAAGATTTTAACATTTATAGGTAGTGAAGAAGCGCATCCCATTTTACAATTTGCGGAGGTGGATGTAGTCCCGGTGCGCGAGTGTGACAAATTGCTGCGGTCTAGTCGCAACAGAAACTGGCGCGGGCTGGTCTATCATCAGATGTGCGCCGGACATTTGGAAGGTGGAGTTGATTCCTGTCAGGTAAATTTACAAGGCGTCATATGGTTACCCTGCTTGCCAACTGCCAAAGAATCTGTACTTCAAAAAAATTTGGGGGTATTTCAAGGTCATCATAAAATGATCTGTCTACAACGTAGATAAAAAACAAAGGTTCATATCTACTATCTTTAATCAGTATCACCATTGATTATCACCAATCTATCTCTTCTTCTTTCATCTTCTTCTCTTCTTTTCTCCTTTTTAGTTTAATTTCTACTTTCAGTTATTCGGAGTATTTTTTTACTTATCACTGTTTCTTGTAACTTAAAAAAAAATCGATTGTTACAGGGTGATTCTGGTGGACCATTACAAATGGAAATCAAGATGCCAGGTTTTACAGATTGGAACATGCATTATGTTCTTGGAGTTACGTCTTTTGGTTATGGATGTGGACGTCCGAACACTCCGAGTGTCTACACCAGAGTGTCCAGTTTTCTGGATTGGATCGAAAGTATCGTTTGGGAAGAGGATTATTTGAGAGTGAATAAAAAGAATTAGTTTTAGAAGTTTCAAGAGCACAACTCACTCCTGCCAGATACCAAAGAGCAATATTACGGAGTATCTCTAAATTGGCAACGGCTTAATCATGATTATAGCCAGCCATTAAGTTTAGAGATAAAAATATGTATGTCATTAATTAAATGTGATTTTGGATTCAATATATTTCCGAAAATATAATTCAACGCCTTTTAATTTTTACCTAACAATCTTTGTTTATTTTGATTCTTAAATTATTCGCAAAAACCTCATTATCTATCTTATTCATCTTACTAATATTATAAATGCGAATGTTTAGTTGCATGGATGGATATTTGAATGTATCTCCGGGACAGCGGATCTTTGGCATTGATGGAGAACATAGTCTGGAAGAACATATGGGCTACTTTTTAATTCTTTTAACTTTGCGTGGACGGATTCGCGGGCTATCTAGTTATCTATATTTCTATATATTCTATGTTTTATATATTTTCTGACAGAACTGTTGTACTATTAATATCGTCTACATAACCTGACGTTCGAAGAATACGTATAAAAACAACATGAACTCATTATAATTGACCTTCGTTAAGACCTGTCTGGTTACTGACATTACACTAAAGCACCTTGCACACTACGTTAATCTTAAAATTTTTAACATACTCGTATAATAAAACCTAATTTATTATTTATACAGAGTACATTTATTTCCTGCATTTACACTGACAATAAAATCTTTAATATTTAAATGAACTTGCACTTAACACTAAAGGTGAGTTTCTGAACTAATTCTCAAACATAAAACATAAAATCAACAAGTTTAATTGAGTATGATTGGTGTCCGTGGATGGAAATCCACCTTTATGTGAACGTTTCTCTTTTGTCCTCTTTGAAAATTAACAGCAACATGTCTTGATGTAAGTGTCAGGGATTAGAATCATGGTGACACAAGTCAGTTTCATGATATAGTCAAACACGAATATCAGGTCAGGTTACACAGGCGCTGTTATCACGGTTAGTTATACCACAAAATATATAAAACCTACTAAACCACAAAAAAGCCAATACAGCAAGGATTTTGCGACACGTAGTTGACATTAACAGGGAGGAGCTAGTGAGCTGTTATAATTTAGTTTTATGTCCACCGGGTCAGATAAGACTGTCGATCTATACTTCTACTAAATGAAAATATATGAATATACGAGGTGTCGCCTGCGACTCCGTCCGCGCGGAATTAAAAATAAACTTAATTAGTAGTCTATGTGTTCTTAAAGACTATATTCCAAATATATGCCAAATTCCAGCGAGCTGTATACAGCGGTTCTGGAGATACCTTCAAACTATCATCTATCCATCGAAACATTTGCATTTATAATATTAGCAAGATATATACTAAGACGGATGAGCTACTTTAATCAACAAGGCCATGTCAGATAACAGTCAGCTGACCCGTTTGACCTTAAAGGTTATAAAGTCAATAGCCAACAATTGACGTAATAATAAATTTTAGTTACGTTTCATACGTACTTAGTAAAGAAGAAGCAGAATTAATATTTACCTGACAACAGGGTGTGCTTTTCGGTGGTAATAATATTTTTGGGTCGGTCGGTTTGTATGTATCAATTCATTTGTCACATCCTGTACCGATTCGTGAACCGATTATGAGAAGTGATATGTAATTCGATTATGATTTTACTCTAAAATGTCAAGCTTTATTTTTTTTCTTTTCAAGTTGTGTATGTTAAATATTTTTGATACACTTTTTCGTTTGATTTTTTGACTCAGCCACCCGAACGAAGTCGCGGCTACCAGCTAATGTTCGTCTTTATAAAGTCAATTAAATAAAAAACACCTTCAGTACGTCATATCTTATATGTTATTCGTTTTATTCGCATTTGCAATGTAGAGTTATTCTAAGACGGTCGCGTTATTACTTCGAATAATAAAATGAATCATTCAAATACATATCAGTTATTATTAGTAAAGATTTGTTTCGGTACGTATATCTTACTAATATTATAAATGCGAATGTTTAGATGGATGGATGGATGTTTAAACTGATATATAAACACGGCTAAACACTCACGTATATTCGTCCGGTGGCGGCACCGACTAGTTTCGAACCCATCGGGGGCCCTTGTTCAGGATGAGTGGTACTGGTATTATTTCGCGGACGCGGCCCGTCGCTCACTCGAAACGTCGAAACTAGTCGGTGCCGCCACCGGACGAATATACGTAAGTGTTTAGCCGTGTTTATATATCAGTTTAGTATAATGTCTCGCGAAAGTTTGAATAATTTAATGGATGGATGTTTGTTTGAAGAATGTATGAATGAATCTCGATGAAATTTGATCTGAATGTAAAACATAGTCTGGAAGACCATATAGGCTAATAATTAAATCGTTTGTTGTGGGCGACAGCTAGTAATATTATAGATTCGAAAGTTTAGATTGATGAATGTATATTCGTTAAAAAGTATTTCCGGAACTGCTCAACGGATCTCGCTAAAATTAGACATAGACGTAGAAAATAGTCGGGAAGAATATAAAGTTTTTTTTTTAATTTCCCGGGCGAAAGCTAGTTGCTTAATATTTTGTTGTAAAATAAATCCTTTCTTATGAATTAAATAAGGATTTTGTTATTTCTGCATGACATGATAATGTTGGTATTTTGGTAAATTTCGTGTTCGAGAATCTTTATGATATGTAATTCCTGATAATAACCGGGATAGATGAATAAATGTTTTTAATTTTGAACGTAACAGTAATTAAAATGTAATTATAATTATTTCCTTGTAGTGTGTTTATTTTTCCTTAATTAATTAGTTAATATATTGTTTTAGAATTCAATGTATTTTGATGTTTATTTTCCTTCCATTGTTATGTACTTAAAATAGTTACAGCAAATGCTTATTTTGTATATCGTTTGGCATTTGCTACTTATAATAAATTATACCTTAGCTTATAACCGTGTATTTTTGGGACCAAAATACCCGTTTAAAATATATTACCATCTCTATTTTTGTCAAAGATAATGACAGAGATGACGATTTGTCTGTTATACAGAGATTTTGGTCTCGGAAACTCACGGTAATTAACGAAATAGATTACTAAATCAGTATTAACACTAAGATTTTATTGACCAATCATATCTGTACATTCATTTAATATTATTAAATTAACAAGGGCCTAGCATGAAAACTGCGAGAATCTATTCATAACGCCATCGACATTTGTATTAGATTTGTATAGCGTATCGGGCGTAAAGCACAATGACAAATGTCATACAAATTTCGACATTTTTTGTCTGTAATACGAAAACGCATATCGCAAATATTCGTGATAGACTGTCAGTGTATCATTGAGTTTTGATTGCCTTTGTTTTGTTTAATAGAATGTATATAAAAATTTACATAAGTATAAAAAAAAATATTTTTCATATATCTTGTATTAGACGTGATGTATTATAGTCACTATACCATTTCTGACCGGATAGACGACTACCGTCAAAGATTCGACGCTGTGTGTGCAGACGCGATACTCGGACGCAAGGATACAAGTTGCTTTGTATACGAATGACCTTACTGTTAATTTTAAATCTCTTGACACTTGTATACAAAAACGATTCCTATCTCTGTTTTTTCTAAGCGAATGAGAGAGTAGGCGCTATATTCATTTTGGATATTAATACAATGTATGAAATTTCAGCATCAATTATTTTTTCTAACCTATTACAAGTGAAGGCATACAAAAATTTTAGACCGTACAAGAGAAGACATGGTAACGGAACTGTGAGTAACAAAATTATATTTATGTGTACAGCTTATTCCAATAAACACTTAAGCTTTGAAAATAAACGTAGCGAGGTCAGTCTATTTTTTCTTGCGTTTTTTATGACACTAGATGATAAATGAGCGAGCGGTCATCAGAGCCCTATCATGAATATTCGTGGAAACGATGTAACATCATCGAAAAAATTGTGTAGCGTCTTTAGCAGGCGTAAAGTACTCCAACAAATATCACACAAATTCGATGTCGATGATATTACGATGGCGTGTGACGTAAATATTCGTGGTAGGATCCCTCTGATATCGCTAAAGAGCGAAGAACCACTGGCCATAGACATTTGCAGCAAGTAATGTAGATTCATTTACAAGTTTAGATCTTAATTTGCAATTAAGATATTTTATACACTTGAATAATTCTATTATTTCTTTTCTTTAAGTTGACTCCAATCGATATCCGTACAAAAAATTTGTTCAAAATACTAGACGATTTGCCACAAAATGAACTTTTTCATACAACATCATGCGATGTTATGGAACAAGAATTGCCAGATTTCAGAACACCAGATCGACGCGTCAGTGAAGTTAGTAAGTACTTTTAACTTACTAAGCTTTGCTCTTATAATTACTAATAAAATGATGAAATATGAATAATATTTTTCGATGTTACCGATAGAAAAAGTTAAGTTTATGTTTAAGTTGATTATCGATAAAACACGATCAAAATGACATTTTCTAAAAATGATTCCTAGCTAGATCGATTTATCGCCCCCGAAACCCCCATATACTAAATTTTAAAATGCTCACAAGCGCCCCCCTTTGACCAAAAAGTGCAACAAAAACCTTCTCCGACTGTAATTGTCTTGTACTTTGTGGTGACTTTATTTTATTGTTTCTACGTGAGAAGATTCGCACCGCTCTTATCATGCCAGATAAATTAGTTGGACTAAACAAATCAAAGGATCTGACAAATTACCCATCTATTAGCAAAACTACACATTTAAAAACTTATATAAAGTTATAATTTGTGAGTTTTCATTAATGACAATTATTTTCTTGAATTTTAGAATGTCTTGAACATCTATGGAGAATGCGATTTTACGATCAACTGCTATTAAAAAAAATAAGATGTAAGTATTCTGTTCGTAAATATGACAGAATAGTTAATATTTAAAAAAAAAAACTTTTTTACGTTAAATATTTCTTATGATTTAAGGTAAATCTGGAGTGGAAAATGCATACGTCAGTTTCTCGATTTACAGGGGTAAAGACGTGTCAACTGGAAAATTTGCTCATACGGTAAATTAAATTAAATTTAAAAGAAAATAATCAATAATCACCGACAATGTTTTTAATATAATTTTCTCAAACATATTAATGTTACATGGAATGAGAGAAAAATAACAACACAAAATATAGTTGTAAAATTGTATTAAAGTAAAAAGCTCTGCTTGCAGTTTAACATTACGTAGATTGCAAAAACGACATACGTATGACCTTCAAGAAGCGAGCATACCATTTCCTTAAAGGCCGGCAACGCATCTACAGTTCCTCTCGTGTTGCAGATGTCCATGGGTGTCGTTGATCACCTCGGTGTTCCCGCCGCTCCATTGCCCCCTTCTCTTATAAAAAAGGACCATACCAAAATAATCACCAATTCTTAAAATAGCCCTTTTATAAGCATTTCTTTTAATTGTACTCGTATTACAGAAGTGTTGTCAAATCTTTATTTTTAAAATATATCTTGTTTTGAACATCCAAAAAATGGTTATGACCATATACTTAGGATCCTGCAGAATATCTCTGATACCAGCTACCCACAGATGTGATTTCTTATTAATTTCTGGGAGCTATCGGCTGGCAGTCAGTCAGGCAGGCCTGGATATTTTTGTGTGGTGCTGTGATGATAAGCGAGAGGTACTTTTTGACTGCCGCGCACTGCTCGACCTCACATGACACTAGAGTTGCCGACCCCTCGCCAAAAATATTAAGACTCGGAGACAAATATATTTTGGACTCGGTAAGGAATTTTGTACTATCTCATTCCATTTTTATTTCTTTACTAGCTGTCGCCCGCGACTTCATCCACGCGATTTTACAAAAAAACATAATTAGTAGTCTATGTGTTCTTCCAGACTATGTTCTTTATGTATGCCAAATTTCAACTAGATCCGTACAGTCGTTCTGGAGATACCGTCAAACAAACATCCATCCATCTAAACATTCGCAATTATAAAATTAATAAGATATTAGTCATTAAAGCAAAAATTTTGTGAAGACATTTTTAAAAACTAATTAAAAATGACTACTGTCTTAAGTAACACGCACGAAGCGATTCCTTAACGAACTTCAAATATGTATAGAACTGACAATAACTTTCGATAGGTCACGTGATTGTCACGCGTCAGTTCCATACAATTTTGAAGTTCGTTAAATAATCATTCAAAGCGAATGCACTTTGTCTAACCTCGTTATACATGAGGGTGACCACTTTAAAAATTTGGTAATATTTAATTACCATGATGTATGAACTAGTAATATGATTACCATTTGATGCAGAATGTATACGGGAAAAAACCAACAGATGTATATATAAAGAAAATCATTGTACCAGATAATTACCAACCACCATCTAAATATTATGACATAGCATTAATAGAGTTAGAAGACATAATTCCATTCAAAGTATTCACTAATCCGTCTTGTGTTTGGCCGTACGAAGACGAATTATTTGGTAAAGGCTATGAATCTGGATGGGGTATCGTGGAATCAGGTAATTTTTTTTATTTGTCAAGAGTTAAATCATGCCAGTTGCAAATTAACTAACAATTTTTTTTTTAATTCCGTTTCACAGATTCGATTCATCAACCAGAATATGAAATAAACGACGTCGAAGTAATAAATACGAATGGATGCAATGAGAAATTAAACGAAATATTACACGATTCAATACAACTACCTCATCAAATTTGTGCAAATTATTCGAACGCCAATGATACGTGCAAGGTACGTAATTTTAATATAATACTAGGTGTTAGTTAACAGTGGTAGAGCCCGCTTTAACATCTTCGCACGAATTGGCCCGGTTCGCCCGGTAAAATACCACGGCCACACAGAAGACAGGCGTGAAGTGGAAGCAATTCCGCGTTTCGTCTGACGAGTGTGTGTCCCGGAGGCCTAATTTAGTCCTCTTTCCCTTCCCATCTTTTTCTTATATATTGCCACCTTATGATACAAGAGAAAAAAAAAGGTGTGACTTCTTCCGCGTGAAATACAGTTTTTAGGTACTAAGTACTAGGCCATTGCAACATTACTTAATTTTTCTAAAATAAAAGATTTTTTTCTAATATAAACGTAGCCTAGGTTACTCTTTATTACATAAGCTACCTGCCAATAAGAGTCCCATCAAAATCGGTGCAGCCATTTTAGAGATTAGCCGTAACAAACAGATAGACAAAAATTGTAAAAAAATGTTTTTTTGTTATATGTACCGTATATTCATGTAGTAGAAAACAGTTATTTCAATATTACAAACAGACATTCCAATTTTATTTATATGTATAGCTAATATTTCTAACTCATAAAATTAAATCGTTTTAAACGTATTTTTTAAAGCACTTAATGAAATAGTCAAAGTTAAATCGAAAAAAAAATCTTGTTACCTTATAATTTTTTTTTTATTTATTTTAGGGAGACTCGGGAAGTCCTCTAATGATGCCTATAATTAATCCTTATTATTCAGACTATACTATTCACTACATAGTGGGCATACAGTCTACGAGTTGTTACACGCCTGACCACCCCAATATCTATACAAAAGTGTCGAGCTTTGTCAGTTGGATAGAAGATATTGTGTGGCCCGAAGACAATTATGTAAAGGAAATTTTATCTGAAAAAAATTTCGCAAAAATATACGAAGGATTATAGATTATAACACTTATCAGTTACATTGTTCTTCACTTGATTGTTTTGCAAATTTTTTTTTCTATATTTTTTTTTGTGATATTCATTTTCCTATTGCTCTCTTATGATACAATTTCATTTATAACAATATCGAAACAAATAGAGTATGAGAAGAATATCAGGATTTTTTATTAAATAAGAGAAAAATAAAATTGTTTAGTTTGATAATAATTTACTAAATTTTTACAAATAGTACATACAAAGTAAACATACAACTTTTAATTTAAATCCCACAAAAAAACATTCTCAAACAAAAAAGTTCTTAAACAAAATGCACTAAAAAGTAACCTATTTTGGTTGGTCATGAATACCCTCGGAAGTAAGAAAATTATCTTCTTTCTTGTACTGTGTCTATATTTTACAAATATTGTTAGTCGGAGTCGATGTCGGCCAAAATTTTTCACTAGGCACTATACCTAGGTAGATACCGTTTTATATCTATGTCTTAAACCAAGTTACGTTTAAGTTCCTGTCAAGGCCGAAACCGACAAAATAACTATAATTATAAAATATAGACATAGTACAAGAAAGAGGAGAATTTTCTTACTTTCGACGGTATATATGCATTTTTTTTTTACTTTTTGAAGCCTTTTGTTTGAGAATCATTTTTTCCTAAGTCACTTTTTTTTTCTTAAAATTTTGTTTAATTCCCTATTTATGGTGAATTTTGGTGAAACTTCGATAACTAATTTTCTTTATACTACGCGGTTTTTACGCGGTAACACACATAAAAACAGTCGAATTGATAACCTCCTTCCTCTTGAAACGGCTAGAAAGAAGTGAGTATTTTGTTTGATTACTATTTTCATTGGATTAAGTGTGCATTTTGACTATTCATATTTCTTCCATACATTATTTTCAATCCAGGAAACGAAACTAGAAACTCTAACATAAATAGCTGGAACATTACTTTGAGCACATCCTTTTCCTTGTGACACAATACCAACTATGTAATTAGTGCGTTTTTTAATTCCGGCCAAAGGTCCGCCGGAATCGCCCTAAAAAAGAAAAAGTTTTATTTCTCTCATTCACTCTAAATGAGATATCAAAATGTTTTCGGATGGGTGTTATGGTTTGGCAAACCCATAGAGATATCTAGACGTTGTTTGCGTCGCTGGCGGAGTTGTTAACCGCTTGACCGGACCAGAATCGAAAAACCAAAATCTACATGTCCTAATTCCAACCCCACAAATGTGTTTTTAGATTTATCAACCTGCATATGTCGCCTAAGAAATTCGAAAATATTATATGTGTAAAATCACGTGGGGTCAAGCACTTGACTTGCAATCTGCAGGTCCTGGGTTCGAATCCCGCCATGTACCAATGTGTTTTTTCGATTTACATAAGTACATTTATCCGACGTTCTTACGGTGAAGGAAAAAATCGTGTTGCAACCTGTACTTATGTGTACATATGTGTGAAGACAACCAACCCGCACTTGGCAAGCGTGGTTGACTATGGCCTAGTCACCCCTAACTTAGGGTAGGCTCCGAGCCCCTTGGTTTGGACATTATGATGAGATTAGTAATGTATATGGCTACAAAGGTAGCAGAAGAAATTATTAATGAATTGTGTACAAGAGAATGTGTGACAGGAGGAAGTACATTCAGATCAGCGTCTAATTGTAATTTAGAATGAGTAGCTGAGCCGGACATCTGTAGGGACCAAGACCGTTGGACATTTTGTGTAAGATAAATTTATCGTACTAAGCCTATATGAGAAATGATCAAAGCACTCTCTTACCTGGCAAGTATCAACACCTCCTGATAATTTTCCGGCACATATTTGTTGTTTTATAGGTTTGAAGTCAATTTGACCATTATCTTTGTATATCTCCGCACACTTTTCTGTATCGATAATTTCCAAATCAGCGGTTTGCAGTATATCAGTCATTTCATTAATGGCTGTAAGAAACAACAAAAGAACAGGTATCATTATTGATATTATAATTCAACAGAAAAGGAACGGATTTTTACGAAAGGTACATAAATTCCCTTGAATATTATTTTTCGTAATAATGCTTAACCATAGATGTTAAGTAAAGAGAATCAATACTATCTCAACCGGCACTATGGAAGTCTGCGGTTTCTATGACCGCTCAGATACAAAGAATAATTTCACTTAATTTACCGACTTTTTTCGTCCGTCTTTTCACCTCTTTGTTCTTAATAAAAGTTGACCAAGTTTGCAACACTATTTTCAAATTATTGCATATATATGAATTTAGGTGTAATATAATACAACAATATATAAATAAGCTAATTATTTCCTTAATTATCTCGCTTATATAATCATGTTACCCGGGTCTGTAGTCCCCCATCCCGAAACCGAAACTTTCTTCAAACTGCCAGTATGCTCGCTGCGCCAGAGACATGCAGGCTGCACGGATTTAGTAAACTTTATTTTCTTTTTTAATTTAACCAGTGCGATATCCAATTTATTATCATAATGATAATCCTCGTATTGTTTAAGAGCTATTTTAAAGTCGTCGGCAGGTTCCTGCAGAATAACATAAGCTTTATAATGTTGCAGCAAATCTTACTTCTTACTATTATTATAAAAGCGAATGTTTGGATGAATTGATGGATTATAAGATTTCCAGAAGGGCTTAATGGATCTAGACGTAATTTTGTAAAAAAAAGGAACATAGGCTATAAATTAAGTTGTTCTATTTAATGCCTAACAGACAGAGATGTGACCAAGAGCTAGCTCATTATAATATAAGATTCGAGGTTCAAAAACATAAATATTTCTCATATCCGATTGTTTAAATGCAAGTACTAAATCTGAGATGGATTAATTGGCTCAAAATTCTATTGTATTTTTTACAGAAAACTTACTTCGATGTTGGTTGTTCCGAATCGAGCAATTGATGGCTTTATAAATCCATTAGGATTATCTTCTTTCAACGCACAATGTGCTGCTGTCAGGGCGAACCAATAACTTATCAGTGTACATCCACAGAGAAATTCCAATTTTCCCGATTTCATTTTATATCCCAGGCCACCCTTAAATTTTAAAATATATTTAACTGCAGTCTCAATAAGTATCGGTAATCGAGCGCTAATGTAGTCCAGCTTTATTACACAATCTACACTAAAAAAGGCAGTAAACGATGTATTCTTTAAAAGGCAAGTCTGATATTTTTTAAACTTTCTACATATGTCTTACTTTATTACCAAACATTGGTTACCGTCACACTTGTCTTTAACTACGTAGTTTGTAAATTGATAAAATGATATTTACCACATAAGGAACATATTCAATTGATGTGCTGTTACCTCCTATCACTCCATACCCATTATCTGCGAATTCATCAAATTTACCCTTTTGTTATAAGAAAAAGATAAAAAGGAGTGCGTGCGTCACCACCTTCGTCTATTGAATGTAGTCAACGCATATGCTATTCGCTATTCGTATTGATAGAAATATTTTTGAGATTATTGACCTTGAAGTTTTTTTTTCTTAACGCGAGATCGATGACTTTCAGGTTTCAGATATAATATTATTTCAAAATTCCTATCCATTATCAGGTCTATGAGAATTATTACACTGTTTTGTTATCCAAACGGAGTTTACTTTATTTATATATTAATGTGGCAAACACAAATCACTGAAATAGCGAACCATTGCCCATAGACATCCGCAATTGCATATGCGTTGCCCAAACTTAATCGACGGAGGAGGAGATGCACATAAAATATTATTTTCCCTTTCCATGCATTCCTTCAACCGGAAAAACCGCTTCCACTTCCCATCTAGTCCAGCGGGAATTTTTTCAGTTTTTCTTGCATTTATGACGCGTTTTAAATTATCTGATATGTTTTGCTTACCGTGGATTCTACAACTATCTGTATGAAACATATCGTCATCCCTGTCATTATCTTTGACAAAACAGAGATAACAATATGTTATAAACGGGGATTTTAGTCTCAGAAAATAAGGTTACCTGTCTCTTCATTTCTATTCTGTTTTTGTCTAATTATCTCATTGTTGTATTGTCTACATTCTGTAAAGTAATAAATATTGTTTAGGACAGTAACAACTAGATAATTGTTTGGTAGGTAATGGTATATAGCCTTAAACCTACTTCTTTCAGATATACTTGAAAATCTTTTATAGTAATAAATTTTTTCATCTAGGGGAGAGTCAAATCTAATTGCCGTTTCTGGATATCCCCTCTTATATAATTCTTCATCAGTCATGTTTCTCTGAAAGGAAATATCAATGATAAGATATAATTATAGATAAAATACATTGTAAGGTAATTTTAATATTAGGGAGTGGACGGGGATTAGGTCAGCGGAGGAACTGTTTCGCCTTGAAATTGACAGAACCAAATATTCCAAGTTAGCGGCCAACCTTCAAGACTGAAGAAGCTCTAGAAGAAGAAGGTAATTTTCAAAGTATTTAATAGACAATCAATTTTCATTTGCACTGAGAAATGGTATTTTAAATACATCCTATTGATTTGGTGACCTATGCTAGTAAACTATTTCCTTGTCGAAACATAAGTCTCGGTTAATTCCTTAATTGTAATGTGTATTCGAGACTACAATAAACATGATACTAGTCCAAAGGCGTAACAGCGTTTACAAAATATAACACCGTTAGCGTGACAACCCATCCAACCAATTTAGTAAAACAAGCACGACAACACGTTATTGTACTTATTGTTGGAAACTCTCTTAAATAAATAGTATAGTCTTCTACTTTTTTATAATAGGGAAACGAGTGGCTGGATAAACACAACGCTCATGCTTATCCGCAACTCTGCTGAGGCTTTGCAGCTTTGAAGAGGAGGTACTCGCTTCTAGATAGACCCTGAGTCGTGGTGTACAGACTGACGAGTGGGATACGGGGCGGGGAGGGGCGGGATAGGAAATATTTCCCTCTGTGCGTCTTTACTCATTTCTGAGGGACGCGTCTTCTCTCCTTGTTCTCATGTTATATTATTAAATAATTTTCATTAGGAAATTTGTAAAAATTACGAAAATAAATTTACCGCTTTACTCTGTTTTCTGTTTAAACGTGCTAGAACACTTGGGTCTGGAGTCACGCGCCCTAAAAATAAATATTATTATTTAACTAAACCTATTGCTTATACTTTGAAAATAAAAATTTCAAGCTGCATTTCAATGTTAAAGTCTAAATAAATTTAAATCATTTTAACATGCAAATAAAACTTTTCGTTTAAAATGAGAAAGGTTGTAACTCTAATTTATAAGATTGGTTAGTTCACGAACAGTCTGTGTCGTCTTCAAAACCATCTATCGCATTTTTATCACAACTATCTTCATGAGTATTGTCAGTTGTGTCATATTCTTTCTTCAATGACTCCATTGAGAAAAGGTGATTGTGAATTGTAGCAGGTGTAAACTAAAAATGAAAATATAACAACATCAAAATTACTGTAGAGCAAAACTAATATACTAAAGACTATACATATGACGGAGATCAATTTTAATATATACTAATCTTTAAGTTCAAATTTTATGTATTAAATATAATTACCTACATATTGTCACTTTGTTAAAAATCTTTGGAAATTTTCCAATAAAGGAACAGTAAAAGCGTCGGTGGCTCATGGGCACTTGACTTGTAATCTACTGGTCCTGGGTTCGAATGCCGCCATGTTTTCCGATTTTCGATTTACATATGTACATTTATCCGTCGTGCTTACGGTGAAGGGAAACATCGAGAAACTCAAAGATATGTCTGAAGGTCACCAAACCGCACTGAGCCGGCGTGGTTGACTATGGCCTCGTCACCTCTTATAATACTTAGGGGAGGCTCCGAGCCTTTGGGTAGGTACGTATATTGAGCTAATGATGATAATGATGAACAATAAAAGAAATTACTACATATTGTCGTCCCCATTACCAGGGAAAGTGTATGTGCAGTGCAAAATATGGATACAGTTGCTATATTGACTTAATTAACATAGACAGATGTTCTTAGTGATGAGACACGCTTGGATTCCTGACAAGTAAAGTGACAACAGCTCTCTTGCTTGTCAGTGCGACACCGGATAAATTACGTGAGCGTTAGCCATTTCATATCTTACTAATATTACGAATGTTTGGATGGATGTTTGTTTGAAGGTATCTCCAGAACGGATAAATTCGTACTGAAATTTGGCATAGATGTAAAACTGAAGTTAGAAGAACGCATAGGCTAATCATTAAGTTTTTTTATTGTATTTTCATATACTAAAAAATATTTCAATGTTTTACTTACTTTTACAATGCTTGATTTTATTGATGTAACTGAAAAAGCAGTAAATAATATAAAATTATAAAATAAAAGGTAAGTAATCTTTCTTCTTATTAATATTATAAATGCGAATGTTTAGATAAATGGATATTGGTACGAAGGTATCTTTACAACGGCTGTATGGATCACAATGAAACTTGGTATAGCTGTAGAGCAGCCTGGAAGAACACTAATTATATATATTTTTAATATCGGGCAGACGGAGTCGCGGGTGAAGTTAGTTTTAAATATAAATTAAAAAATCGTACCAAAAGCACATAACGTTATTAAGGATAAGAGCTCCATTTTTAATTATTTAAAACAACAGAATGTGTCTGATATTGCGCCAAAAATATAACTGACTGGACATCAAAAGGACAAAAATTTATTTATATTACTAAAATATCACACCTGCCACTAACCACAACCGTGACTTTCGCATATGTTACTGTCAAAGCTCGAACTACGGTCAATTCAAATATTTACCAACTAGTCATGAAAACAGTCGGAAATGTTAACTATTTCAAGCGTTTACATTCTCTTGGGACATCTCAATAATTAGGTACTTTAAATCTTACTAATAACATACATTTATATGTTAACATGGATTATTTGTTTGAAGATATCTCCGGAAGGGCTCGTCGGAAATCGAAAAACACATTGGTACATGGCGGGATTCGAACCCAGGATCTGCAGATTTCAAGTCAAGTGCTTGACCACCGAGCCACTGACGCTCGCTACTATGCTGTAGTCTTCTTTAAATAAATAATAATACTATGACGTATTACATATGTGTCACATGTATTAGTAATTATAAAATACACAATTATAAGGTAGAATATTTTATTTATAAATGAATAAGTTATTGCGTTATATTAACGGCAGGAAACATCATATTATAGTTATAATACTTGTTGGCGCTTAACGTCGCGCGAGTCGCTGCGCACAACACAATTTTAGGTGTAACAGGGCGTTGCGGGATGCGGGGGGGGGAGTTACTGCGCAGCGCGCAGCTCAAGGTCAGCCGTCAAAGGTTGTAACTATCCATTACAATTAATTTTTTGCATGTATTGATAACGTGATCATTTAATTTTTGACTAAAATGGGACAATGTTTTTTTTCAGGTAATTAACGTGTAGTCATTGAATTTGCTTAAAGCTGAGTACTTATCAATAATAGCTGGTGATTTTATTTAATTTGAAACTCTTGGTACTTCTTATATTTGCCTTAAGAACCAAAATTTGAACCTTTTTCTCAGATGGATTGACTGACGATGTGATCTCGCCCTCGCACACCGCTCGCATCGACCTGCTTAAATTGTCGCGCTGTAAACAACGGGACAATTTGGCGTCCCAGCATTCATATTGAAGACCCCGGGACGTGTAACTATAAAACGGGTCAGTCCCGTTCAAAACGAGACGGCTGGTCACGTTATTATTGATAACGGTAATCGTTATAATTTTTTACAATTTTGTATTTTGCACACGGCAATGATTACGAATTTAGTAGTTAATAGAGATTATATGGTGGAAATCGAATATCGATTTTATCTCGAAAACAATGACAATGCTTCAACATTTTCGTTGTACACCCGTTTAGTAGTTGCTCGAGGAATGAAAATAAAACAAGTATTTAGCTCAATAAGACTTTTTATTTAATATGTATTAAAATTATGTTTCTAATTTTATTTAATTTTATCTTATTTACAGAACGTACAATCCATTAAAATGTCTTATGATAATTAATGGTAATTACACTATTCTGTATTACGCCATACAATATTTTCAATCCAAGGTACGAAACTAGAGACTCTCGTGTAAACAGAAGGTGTATTTTGTCTCGCACAATATACCCCAAAAGATGTGATTCCAACGACGAAATCGGTATAATTGTAATATCCCTCTAAAGGTCCACCGGAATCCCCCTAAAAAAAGTGGCAATATTATACAAAAAGGCCTAATTTAGTCCTCTTTACCTTCTCACCCTTTTTCTTATAAAGAAAGGATAGTTTGATAGTTTTGGAGATTAATTTTAAGTATCGTATCATTAAAATATTTTTGTTAACCTCTTACCTGGCAACTGTCAACACCTCCCTTTAATTTACCAGCACATATCTGATGATCTTCTATAGTATTGAATGATCGTAATTTTTTAGCTAATAGCTTTATACATCTTCCTTTTTCTATTAAATCGACTTCAGCTGTTTGTAAAATATCACTTGTTTTTTGTTTTACTATAATAAATGTTTAAGAAAAAAGTTTAAATTAATAAGTATTCAGTAGATTATTAAATACACAGGTCGACGCAGCGTGGACAGGCCTCCCGTAAGATGGACCGATGACCTGGTCAAGGTTGCGGGAGCGTCCTGGATGCAGGTAGCACAGGACCGGTCATCGTGGCGATCTTTGGGGGAGGCCTATGCCCAGCAGTGGGCGACTTACGGCTGAGAAAGAAAGAAGAAGACTATTGGTAACATCCATATAATTCTAGGCAGATGAATTAAACAGGATCATATTTTAAGATACATAGAACCCGGTGTCATTTTAGAAGCATTTACATTTTACATTAAAAACTGAACGAAGTTTTATCTATTTCACGAATCCCGAATCTATGCTGGTTTTATAAAGCGGAAGAGTTTGTTTAAACGCGCTAGTCTTAGGAACTACTGGTCCGATTTGAAAAACTATTTTTTTGTTGGATAGTCCATTTGTAGAGGAAAGCTTTTTAGGCTATATATATATAATTACAGCGACAGCTAGTCTAAGATAACAAAAAACCTGATTTTTGGTTCAAAAGACAAACGATTTATTTTTGGATCGATTATTGGCTTCACACTGGGCCAGCGTGGTTGACTATGGCCCAGTCACCCTAATCTTAGGGTAAGTTCCTAGCCTGTCAGTCTCGATGTATGGCTGATGATGAATTGGGTTCAGCCGTAACAAGCCCTGAAAAAACTCCTTACCGGTATCTATGGTGCCCCATCCCGACACAGATACGTGCGTCAAACTGCTTGTGTCCTCGCTGCGCCACAGACATGCAGGCTGTACAACCTCATTAAACATTATTCTACCTTTTACTTTAACGAGTGCGATGTCATAATGTTTGCTTGGTGATTTATATTTCGGATATTTAATTATTCCTAATATTTTGTAGTCTTGACCAAGATGCTGTGAAACAAAAATGTAATATTTAATAACCAAATAAATCTGGCTGAATGTAAGAAACTGTAAGAAAACAAATCAATCACCTCAAAATCGATCTAGCTCTGAGAACTCAAGGTCATAGAAGATCTAAATTAAAGCCTAATGGTTAAGGGGGTTCGAAAAAATTCAATGATATGCGTGAAGTCACTTGGCCAGCGTGGTTGACTATGGCCTAGTCACCCCTAACTTAGTGTAGGCTCCAAGCCCCTTGGTGGGGACGTCTAGTGAGCTGATGATGAAAAAACTTACTTGAATGTTAGTGCTTCCGAATCTAACAATACTTGGTGGTATAAAACTGTGAATACTTTAGAGCTACAATGCGCAGCTGTCAGAGCGAAGTAGTGACTTATCAGTGTACACGCACAAAGAAATTCCGGTTTGCCAGCTGTCAATTCAAATCCGAGTGCGCCCTGGAATTCAATTAATTAATTACGGCCATTGACCCCTTCTCTTATAAAAAACATGGTAAAACTTCATTCACTTTCCTCACAACTTTTGTCTTCCAAAGTAATTTAATTTTTTAAATAATTGTGGCATACATATAGAACATAGTCTGGAAGAACACGGACTCAGGCGACAGCTAGTTTTAGATATAAAAAAGGATAGAAATAAATATATTTACCATGTATGGATGTTGTTCAGCAGTTGTATCTTTACCGCCTACGACTCCATGACCAACACCTGCTACATTCATCAAATTCATATTCAGTGCTTTACAAAACTATTGACGCAAATATAAAATTTATATTACAAGGTAGCAAACAACCAAACGGACACATAATTTCGCTAGAATAGCAAAGTTAAGCCAACCCATAGGCATCCACAATTTAGAAGCTAAAGATACAAAAGGACAGGGAAAGGGATGTATAGAAAGGCGTTTCTCCTTTACGTTTCCTTATCTGCTAAAAGTCACTTCCCCTTTCTATTCTTTTCTTATAAAAAACGGTGCGAAGCGGAAAAGAACTAAAATTTGGCCTCCGGCAAATGAGACGCGGAGTTGCTTCCACTTCACGCTTGTCTTTTGTGTGGTCGTGGTATTGCACCGAGCGATCTATTCATGTAGCAGTTGATGCTGTTTCTACATGCAACATGCGTTAACTTCTGCATACCAACCTTCCTCTTCTTTTAAGAACCGTTGTCTCAGTAGCTCGTTCTTGTATTGAAAACATTCTGAAATAAAAACATAACGAATGTAGTTGGTAAATAATCTATCAATTGTTTAAAATATGAATAATAATTTTAACTTACTTGCTTGAGAAAGATTTTTATAGATTTTAAGGAAATAATTGTGTTCTTCTGACGGAGAAGAAAACGTCAGCCCCGATTGCTTATATCCACGCTTTATTAAATCATTGTTAGATCTCGATCTTTTCTGGAAATAAAAAGGATTGGAATATTCATATCATAATAATTAAGCTATAAATGCCTTACTTAAAATATTGACTACTTCATCATAATAACCGTAACGTAGGTTTATTACATTTTGTTTAGTTTTATTAAATACTCGAGAAAGGCGATATTAAGAGTACCCGAAGCAAGAGAACTGTCTCACCATGGCAATTAATAAGCGTGGTCTCTGCCTACGTCTCTGAGTAACGGGCTATGTTGTTGGTTATTTGAATTTTGGAACAGAGTAACTAAGTAAAACCATTTTTAAATTATAAGTACTAAAAGTCCGAATAATTATGTGTATTTATTAAAATAAAAGTGGTAAATGCTTACTAAGAATTTCTGGACATTTTTTTTCTCTTTTAGCTTTCACACGAAATGTATTTAGCCAATTTTCGTACGTTTACCACATCTAGTTGGGAATCTCTTTTCAGTTGAAAATTGACCGGAGTACATGCTTTTACAATAACAGTACCTACATCTATTAAATTATTCAAACTTTCGTGAGACATTATAATAAACTTATATAAAAACAACATCAAAATAAACGTCAACGACGCCGTCGCACCCCGCGACCTCCGCCCCCTTAAGACGCGCCCTCAGAGCGCAGGCGCGCGTGAGCGACGGACGTCCGCGGAATAATATCAGTCCAACTAACCCTGATGAAGAGCCCCCAATGGGCTCGAAACTAGTCGGTGCCGCCACCGGACGAATATACGTGAGTGTTTAGCCGTTTTTATATAAGTTTAAAAGTACATCTGTTCAATTCAATTTCGAATTTATTAATAGTTATTATTACCATTACTGTTTTCCAATAGCGATCTTTCATTGTTTGCGATTCTGAAAAAAATATTAAAATATGATTAAAATTAACAATTTTGTTTTATCAATAAAGTTTAATTTTGAAGCTTAAGTTGCTCATTATAGGCGTACGTTTTTAGAAATCTTGTTTTTAAAAAATGATATGATTAAAAAAAGATCGATAAATAAGAAATTTATACAAAAAACAGAGGACCGGATATTTCAATACTTGTAAAATCTTACTAATATTATAAATGTAAATGTTTAGATGGATGAATAGGATAGATGTTTTTTGAAGGTATCTCCAAAACGGCTTAATGGATCTCGATTAAATTTGGCATATGTAAATAACATTGTCTCGAAGAACACAATCGCTACTAATTATGTTTTTTTAATGCCACACGGACCGGGTCGCGGGACACAGCTATCAATATAATATGAGTGAAAACTTACCGTCTTCCACCTCATTAGGAAATACAATTAGATCTTCATAAGATGATTCCTCCTCAGACCAATTACTTGCTGATTTCTGATGATCAAAAATATTATCACATTTATTGCTCATCAGCACCATCATCGGCTCACTATACGTCCCCACTTAGGGGCTCGGTGCCTACCCTAAACCAAGAATGATTAGGCCTTAGTCAACCATGGGTGCGTGTACGGGTTGGTTGACTTCACACACATCTTTGAATTTCTTCTCAGATATGTAC